ATCACAATCTGAGATGTGAATCATAATTTTCCCAACGGACTTAACTGAACACATACGGCATATGGTTGCCTGGATACAAATCCTGTCACTTTAACTTAATGACCAAAGTCCCAGCTGATTAAATATCTACATCCTGCATTTGTGTTGTGTGAAGTTGAGATATTTGGACAGTGCTGTTATTTTTCTCTAAAAACGACTCTGAATGACAATAGACCCGTTCCTCATTATGACTAAAGAGCTATGCACCAATGCTATTTTACAGACAAAGTATTCAGAATGTTCATTTCCTGATTAGCTGGTAAAGCCCACACAGGTTTTCCTATCAACAGTTAACACCATGATACCCACACTCTGGTAGAACGTGTGTGACGTGGGGAAATTAAAAGGAACTGTACAGGAAAAACAGGCAAAGCCAAAAACTACAACGGACAATGGACTGAAAGCAAAAACAAGATACCGCTCAAACTTCCAGGTCATGATAGTATATCACAAGCCGAGCACAACTATGATGTTTGAAAGCAGACAGCAATCTTCAAAGGAAATGTGAACAGTTCGCCCCAGTAAATACTGTATAGTATTTTTGCTTGACATCTCAATCCCTCGTCTGCATTGAGCCTCGTGCCATCGATGGACTCCATGTCCACCAACTTGGACATCAGCTGGCAACTTTAGTCCTTGTTCTGTTCTCTGCTCTGAGCAGGAGGGTCACTGAAACACAGAGGCAGCAGAGCAGAACAAGGAAAACTGTCACCAGCTGCAGTCCCAGATGATGGAGTTGAAGTGCGCCTGAAGAACAAAAGATTCACTGCAGAGGGGATTGAATCGCATAGAGGACTGCCACAACAACGACCCGAGCAGCCTTCAGGTAGGAAAACATGAGAGGACAGGCAAGTTGGGTAGTAGTGACTGAAGTTTTCAAGTAAAATCTCCATCTGCAGTGAAGCTCTAACCACTGTTTGCAGCGTTACCGTGCACACAAACATAACCATCGAGTTTAAGTTTCCGTAGTTGTAGCACGAAACTGGTGAAAAGTTTTTTGATGATTTCACATCAAAGTCAAATGTCACCGACATTGTTTGCCCGTTCTCCTCTTTGATGTGGCACTCCCCATTTGGAAAAGTCTCGGTGCTGTTTATAATCTAAATGCATACTTGTCAGGATAATGATATGCAGGGCGTAATAAGGTTTCATAGGAAAACCGGCTTCGTGCGGCAGCTCATGCTGCTGCTGTCAACAACACTGAATCAGAGGGTAAAAACCACTGTGGGGAGGTTGTTTTGAATGGTGGGCTTCCACTGGTGAAACCATTTGAATATATTTTTTTTTTGGTGACCGTTTTTAGAAAACCTGATGTCCAATGATCTAATCAGCCTTCAAAGGCTTCTCCCAAAATAAGAGCTTTTTAATGGAGAAGCCTTTGAAAGATGAAGAGGGTTGTTTAGTCTTGACATCAAGGAGACGCAGGTAAAATGAAAGAACTGATAACTCCTAATCCAGAGAGTGACGAGCAGTGAACGACTGAGACTTGATGGGAACAGTAATTATCATGCATGTCGATCTAGACTAAAAAAAAAAAAAAGGATGCTGTGCTAAATCAGGTGTTTAGCACAAGATTTTATTCTATCAGCATTTACATGATCACTAGAAACTAAACTAAACTAAGAGCTGATATTAAAGTTTTACTAAAGGAGAGCTAGTAGTTTCTCAAGGTTGGGTGATGCAAGTTACAATGACTGGCAATATTCAGCCAGCCAATATCGATTCAATACCTACAACAATCTGAGGTCTCAGTTGCATAATGATACAACCATTCCCTGACCGACCTTTACAAATGACAAGTGCAATAGGTGATGAAGGTGTCAGGAAGTGCTGACAACGCTAAACCCAGCTGCTGTCAAAGACTCCCCACATCAATGAGCCAGACACAACTAACTATGGATTTCCTCTTGAGGCCAAGTGGCCCAGAAATCAATAAGACAATCTATTGTTTTCATTTCCTTTATAATACAGATGCACATGCACGCGGACACACTAACCTGTGGAGACAGGGCATTGGTAGGCTGGGTGAAGAGTGTGGAGTGGGTTGCTGACCGTAGGCCATGTGCTCTCCTGACAGTCTGATGGGGGAAAGGAGCAGACAGTACGTCCTGCTGAAGAAAAGCCACAAACAGACACAAATGTCAAAATAGGAGACATCATCATCAGAGCGGGGATGATCAAAATCCAACCCCCCACGAAAACATCCACCGTCGTGATCAGTAGTGCATTACTGTGAGCTACAATGAGGTTTTGAAGGAGCAGGTTTTATTTTCTGCTCGTTGAAATGTGGGGGATATTTCCTCTTTGTGGCAAACATTCAAACACACGGTGAAATGAGGCGGTTACGTGTGCAAGAAACATGATGTGAAACTGTGTTGCACTTACTGTATGCATATAGACTGCATGTGTGTGAGAAAGTCTCTGCTGCTGTAGCTGACACCTAGAGGTAAACGCGCTTACCAAATCTAAACCAGCATTAGCAGCGAGTTAGTTTTCTACTTCTTAGGTTGTGCACAAGTTGACTATTATTATATTTGAGGAAAAGTGTAAAATACGCTAGATTTGATATTTGGGAATGTGATCTCTGTGCGATGGTTGGGAGGGAAAAGGCAGGTTTTCAGTGCACATATTGGTAAACACAGGCAAGTCAAAAAAGAAGCACAATCTTACTGCTTCTCCAATTAAGAGGGTAAGTAGCACCCAGGTGCTAATAATCTAATGCAACTGATTAAACCTGTAACCCCAAGTGTACCATATTTGGGAAAATGCTGGCTGTAGCAAAAACTATACAAATGAAGTCATTTGAATTTTCTGGCAGTTATTTTATGTTTCATGCTTTGCAGGGGTAACTCATCATTAGCAAGTGAGAACATGAGACATTTTAGCAGTTTGCTAGTCTGTAGCATTCAAGTGTGTGTTACACGATGCCAAAATCTTCCCAAAGGGGGACATCCCAGCAAATTTACCCCAAGGTCAGATCATGTAATGCTTTATAAATTGTAAAAAATAAAAATAAACCTAGGAGCTACATGTCAGAGTCTACAGGCTTCAGTTAGCATGTTAAATTTTAAAGCTCATGACAGTACAATTAGAAAAAACAAAGAACATGTTGCCAAAAGAATGCCTCTTTCCTCTAAAATGAACATGGCGGCACAGCTTATTTTTGCAAAGTTACATCTGAACAAACCACAAAACGTCTGGAACGATGTCCTTCAGACAGACGAGGCAAAAGAGGAGATGTTTGGACAACGCACAGCACCATGATGAGTGAAAACGAAACAGCATTTCAACACAAAAGCCTCACACATACTAAGTGTGGTGGACACATGATGATTTGGGCTTGTTTTGCAGTCACAGGACTGCTCGACAGCTCAAAGCTCCTCTATATTCTATAGTGAAAATTGAGGCCATCTGTCTGACAGTTAAAGTATGTTTGAAATAAGGACAATGATCCCCAGCAGATCGAAAACAGAATGACTGAAAGAGAAAAGACTCAAGGTGTTACAATGGCCAGCTGAAACTGGTTGAAATGCTGTGTTGGGACTTCAAGAGAGCTCAATGAATTGAAGCAAAGCTGTAGACAAGAATGGGCCACAACAACGATGTGACGGATAAACATATATAGGAAACGATTACTTCACTTATTGAGGCAAAAAGTTACCACAAAACTGCAGGAGGAGTGCTGAGAACACGTATTTTCTCTCCACATTACTGTATACACTACACTGTATACACACAAATACATATCTTAGCTTTGTGAGTTACTAAACAGGAGTGTGAGGACGTTTTTGGAAAGCAGAAAATAGCAGCAGAAGTGTGTGTGTGGGCAAGTGTATGAAAGAGTCACAGTAGACTGCAATGACTAAAATACTTTCACCTTCAAAATGCGCACTCCAATATTTTGTGCCTCCCAGCACTAAGGAACGATTAGGTGGAGATAAAATTGTACAAAAAACACTGAGAGTGCACCGACTTTGCCCACAACAAATATTAACTACGCGTTTTTTACCCACAGATGCGGACACGTTACATATTGGCAGCTCCAACCAGCTCTAAGACTTCCACACTAAGCAGTAACAACAGAAAAAGGTCAGGTGTGAAATGCACCCACTGTCACCGTTACGTTTGAAATGTAGAGCCGTTCAAAATAAAACAGGAACCAAAGATGATGTGCTAAACTGTACTGAAAATGAAAAA